AATCTCTTGGGAGCGGGCTGTTGACAATGACAGCATTTATTCTTTTTGGTGGGTGAAACTCCAAGACCTGAGCCAATTGCTTTAATTTACCCACCCTTTCTTTACTTGCTTTTCACTGAATTATAGTCTGAAGTGGGGAGGAGGGGCATCACATTTATCCATCATATCCATCCTGAAGAAGATATTACTCTGGGACCAGGGGTAGAAACTAGAAGGTAACAGACAGTTCGTGTCACTTTCTTCATATGTAGCTGAAGAAAGTCACCTACAATCTTTACACTTTGCTTCAAATGGGAAAGCTTTCTTGGAACCAGTTTGTCATTGTAGGCCTTAAATGTTTATAGAAGAAAGTCAACTATGCCAATCTAAGGCAACCTCAAACAAGTCGAATACAGAGATAAAGCTTCCTGAAATCTGCAGGATATTATTCACTTGTTAGTGTCCCATTATATAAATACTGTGCAATAAAGATAATACCAAGGCCTGAATTAACTCTTGTCCTGAGCTCATATATGTCATGAATCATATTTTTAAACAGTGGTGGTTAAAAATCTAAGGAATCTGAAATGTTAAGTTTTCATTCTCCTGATTTATTAACCCAGATATGCATATTAGATAAATGTTAATCCTAGGTTCATAGTGCACTATCATCTTTGGTCAATGCAGCCCTTCCTTTTTTTTTTTTTTTTAAATTTATATTATGCATCCATTTGTTAATTTATTTATCCATGATAGGATTGTTGTCTTCCAAATTAGTTTTCTATTGGCCTCAATTTTCTTCTCCTTTAAAGTAGTTAGATTCTATGATAGCTAAGGTCTCTTTCAGTTCTGATGTTCTGTGAATGAGATTAAAGCCTGAAATGTATTTAGATCAGTGCCTGGAATATAACTAGTCCTTAATAAATGGTAGTAATAATTACCATTTATTTTCATTATTAAATATGACAAGTTTTCACTGTTAATTCTGAACTTGATATACTAGAAAACTGATTAGAATCCCCATAAATTTAGTGACTCTTCTACTGGGCAGTAAAATTTCTAGTATCATTTTTCTCCCTTGGTCAGCTCTAAACTGTCCATTACCAATTTATCATTGATTCACAAAATCTCAGGTTAGACGAGATCTTAAAGGTCAATTTCCAGCAAGGATGTAGCAGAGAAAAAAGTGAGGCAAACTATTCCCAGAATAATTCTCATTTGCTGAGTTTCAAGATGAGTCCTGTGGAGTTCTTGCTCACTTCTACTAACCTGCTTGGATTTGTTTGTTAACATTTCACTGAAATTTTCTTTTAGAGCTATGAGGGACCTTGGCGGAGAGGCCAAAAACTAGTGGGGGACAAATCATCAGGTAATATATTGCTAAGTATAAGGCAGAGTAGAATGTAAAACTGCCTGGTTTCCTGCCATATGGCATGTAACTGAGGGAGAGTCCGGCATCAAATCCTACAATGCTGGTCCCTTACAAAAGGAAAGAATTTGTGCAGGACTTACATCAACTTCTATTTCAGCGTTAGTGATGGTTTTGCACTAACTGTTACTACTCTGTCAGTTCTTTGTCTTTTTGTCTACTGAGGCCTTTGAAAATAGAGCTGACTTTGATAACCAATAGAGCTTAAGGTCATGAAAAAAGATTTATTTTTATTTTTATTTTATTTTTTTGCTGTAGCTATTGATCCTTTCCTGGGGGCTTCATTCTGGCCAACTGGCTCTAATCAAAGAAGCTAATGAGTTCAAGGTAGATCCCAAAGCAGAATGCAGAATATGCCTGTGCATCAGTGGGAGAGGGGCTTCTTCAGTATTATGTAGATTTAGGAATCATGCTCTTTGCAAATGCACACATGATTGAAGTGGAGGATGCTGCAAAAGCAATTGATAATAAGATGAAAGAATCTACAGTCATATGTTTGATATGATAGATGAATGGGGAGGGGTTCCAAATCTTTTTTTATTTTTTTCAACAGAACTAGGTTTTCTCTTCTAAATACATATGCATCCAAATGGAAGAATATACCCTTTGAGTAAGCTAAATGCTGGCCCAGGGATTGGTTTGCCCATTCATTTCCTACCTCACTTTCCAATTCTCTCTCATGTTCAGTGCAGTGAATGCTGTGTATGTGTGCCAAGCAGGGCACGCTCACAGAAGGCAAGAGTGTTAGTGGAAAGAAAAAGAGAAAGACACCATGGAGAAAAAATATCAATGAGCAATTTTGCCACTCTTAGGAAACCACTTCCAGGCCTCAGGAGACCTGGTGCAGTGATTCTTCTTCATTTCGTGGAGAAGTTGAAGTCCAGGGGCGACAGAGCTTTCAAACAGAAGCATTTTGTGCTGCCTTTGCAGTCCTAAACAATAATAGCCCCAGAGTCCCAGAGGAACCCACAGGCTGTACTTCAAACTTGACTCATGAAGTACCTTGTGTAGTCCTCACAGTGGCTGCAGGGTTTCCCCTCCCATCTAACAGCAAAAGCCCACAATTCTGAAGGAAAGAAAGAGAGACTGATGTATACTGAGACTTGGATCTTTAGTGACCTCTTCCCATCCCATCTGAAACCCATCAGCTTCCGGAGGCATAATCCAATGTCCCTATGAATAGATGGGGGTGGTCTGGGTGGTAATTAACTGTGACCTAATAGATTGTGAACTTTCTGGACTCCAGGTTGGAGAAGGAGGAAGGGACTGGCTGGTAGTGAGACTGTGGCAAAACTCTAAAGCCTGAGCATAGTGCTTATGCTTTTCCACCTATCAATAATAATAATAACAACAATAACAATGGCCTTTATTATAAATCACATTTACTCTAGAGTTATTCAGAGTCTGAATTCCACAAACCTTTGTGTCTCCTCTACCTTCCCCTCCTCTTCTTTCTCCAGTATCCAGCACAATTCCTAGCACCTTTTAGGTGCTCAAAAGAGAAATCAGACAGATAAATGAGTAAAATATTTGCCCTTCTGCAAATGATTTAGTTCTTTTGATCTTCCACTTCTTCAGTAATTTGAGGATAATGGTATTTAGTGGGTTTGTTTTCAAGATTAAATAATATAGCACACCTTATACGATGTGTAAAAAGTCATAAAATGATAATTTTATGAGTTATAAATTTAACTTTATGAATTTTATGACCCTTAAACTTATGAATATTGAGTTTGCAGATATGGTTCAGCTGAGTGGATGAGGGGAGTGAAGCCCTAGGCAGATAAAAGAATTACTACCCGAAGCTATAGGTGTGAGGGTTAATTAATCTCAAATACATATAACCGATGCTTAGGAAGAAAGATAATGGGAGATTGGAAAAGGAGAGGGAGAAAGAGGTGGGCGGAGGAGGTAGGGATATAGTGAATACTTTTAAGGTCAATTGAATTATTTCATAAAGGGTAGATTTTGTTTTCACAAGAAATCCTGTGCCAAAAAAGGCGGGGAGATTGTTCAGCAGAAGTGGGTTAATTGGAGCTCCCTCCTGCCTGCTGCAGTCACAGTGCCTGATACAGTAATGAAGGCGGCGCAGCCACTTATTTCATCTGAACTTCCTCTGTGGCCCTTTTTATGTTAAAGTGTCTCACTATTTCAGAGCTGTGCTTGGAAAAGTTGGAAAACTTTTTTTCCCTTGGTAGAGAAAAAGAAGCCCTCCTCAGACACAATGGAACGAATGAATGAAGTTATTCCTTTGGCCCAACCCTTCCATCCATTTTCATACCAAATATTCATGGAAACATCTTTCTTCAGTTCTGCGACTGGAATTTTACTCTCCCTTGGTGTTGCTTAGAATCAGATGTACAGATTTCAAAAGTCCGCAGGCAACAGACCTGGCTTTGGAGCCACCGTGGTTGGCTTTTGTAGGAGCCGATGTGCCTTACGGTCCTGTGTGAGAGCTTCTCCCGGCAGCAGAATGTGTAAAACAGTTGCTGAAAAGCACAAAGAATTAACGAAGTGAAAATCTCGGGTTATTTGTTGGGCAATGGACACGCAAGTGACTTCCTTAAATACTTGGTTATTTAAAGAGGTTCAGAACGAGGATGAATGAATCTTTGGGGCGCTTGACTCGCGCCAGCGCGTAAATCTCTTTAGTCTTTCGGGAAGTGGCTGTATATTAATACAAATTCAGGAGGGAGGACAGAGAAATGGGTAAAACCACGACTCCCACACGGGAGCTCTCCTTTGAGCCCTTTGGAAAGTCTCGCTTTTGCTGCCCCGACCCTGGAGGTCACAGGCAGGAGAATCCGGCGGCGCTAGGACCTGGTTGGCGTCTGGCTGTGGCTGCTGTTGGGCGGGCAGGCGGAGGAGGGAGAGGAGGAGGGGGAATGTGGGAAAGGAGGGGTGTTAAGGGGGGCGAGGGGAGTAATTTATGCAGAGCAGGCGCTGCTGCCATTGCCGCTCACTCTCCTCGCGCGCAGTTTGGAGCCGGAGGGAGCGCAGGGAGCAAGCTAGCAGGCGCTAGGAGCCCGGGCCAGCAGAGGGGGCGCCCGGCCGCTGTCTGCACCGCCTCCACCGTGCTCAGGGGCCCCGGGAGGACAGAGGGCGAGTCGGAGAGTCCGGGAGCCGAGCCCGGTGAGACCCAACTGCGGGAAGGCGCCTGCCCCGTTCAGCCACCTCCTGCGCTCGAGCCGGGGAGCGCCCGCCGACTGCCCCGCGGGCCGGAGAGCAGGGAGCACAGGTCCCTGCAGCCCCAGGGATGGTCTAGGAGCCGGTGTGAGGCTCGCTGCTCTGCTCCCTGCCGGGGCTCGCCGCCTCCTGCCAATCTCCTAGGGCTGCAAGCCGCGGCGGCCGGGGGCTGCGCGCCCGGGCGGCCCAGGCCGGAGAAGTTAGTTGTGCGCGCGCCGCTTAGTGCACGGAGCCAGCGCGAGAGAGAGGCAGCGAAGCGCCGGGGCCATGGGCTGGGGGAGCCGCTGCTGCTGCCCGGGACGGCTGGACCTACTGTGCGTGCTGGCGCTGCTCTGGGGCTGTCTGCTCCCTGTGTGCCGGACGCGTGTCTACACCAACCACTGGGCAGTCAAGATCGCCGGCGGCTTCCCAGAGGCCAACCGCATCGCCAGCAAGTACGGCTTCATCAACATAGGACAGGTAACGACAGGCTGGCCTGGCCCTCGGCCCCGAGGCTGCCCGGGGAGGGAGGATTCCCCCGCGACATCATGCTTCTTGTCTTCTCGTCAATCCCCTTCCCCCTCTTCCAGATGTGCTCTCTCAGCTGTTGCTCTAACTCTTGAGTGATGCTCACTCTTACTCTCTTTACACATACACTCACTCCCCAAAGTTGTTGGGGTTTGCGTTTTATTTACTTGTTTCTTGCAAGCCGTGGGGGACAGGTAGGATCTATGGAAAAATCATGAGTGTGCATACCCCACGAGTTATTTCAGACCCGATTGGACCTTTTGACATGGAAATTAGGGGAACACTAGTAGCCTGAGCTTTTTTGAGGGGTAAGCACTGCCCTGGTTCTGGCTTCGTATGGATTTTTAGAGCTGGAGTTAGAGGGAGACAAGGAAGGGAAAGCCTTTCCTGCTCGGACCTGAATTTAGCCCAGAAAGAAGTTTCCTCTTGGGCCAGAGAGCCGCTGAGAGCTGGAGATGCAGGAGGCTCGGGGACTGAAGCTGGAAGGATGGAGGGAGGCGGAGGGAGGGAAGAGGGTGGTGGCGTGAGCACAGATTTTGGGAAAGACCTCCCGGCTTCTTGGCCTCTTGCGTGGGATCCGTGTGTGGGCTCCCGGAGAGGGGGTCAGAAGGGGAGGTGGGAAACGTCCGAGACCCGCTTACCAGGTTTTGCTCTCCCGGTCCCCCGCGCCCCCCTCCCACCCCACCCCCCGCCCTCCCGTAGGGACATCCAGAGCCCAGAGGAGGCGTGAGGCGAGAGTTGGGTGGTAGGCAGCAGGGCGCAGGGGTTTTGCGGGGTACCTCTCGAGGGCTTTTGGCAGAGCTGCCCTGATGGGGTACAATGAGTTGAGTGGCACTAAAGGGATGATTGTGAACGCAACAGATTTGGGAGTACCTCCGGGCTAAATTGCCTTGGCTTCCTTGTTCTTTCCAGAGAGAAATGGGATGGAGAAGGCAGTGTTAGCGACTTCCAGAAAGTGTCCCTCACCCCATACTCACACACCTTCCACTCTCTTCTTTGGGCCTGGCCAGATGCTTGAGGTGGGATGACTCTGCTTGAGGTGGGATGCTAAGGTGGTCGGGGCACCCTCGCAGTAGACGCACTTCTGGGACTGCCGGAGATGCACGCGCCCTGTGTGCCCTGCCACGGTGAAGCGAGTAGGGGCCAGCTGGTGCCGCTGAAGCAAGAGAGCACAGACGGTTTCTGATGTCAGTGTCCTCCACGTCCAGGAATTCGAGCCTTGGAGCTGGGGAACCGGGCACCCTCAGAGGAGGCAGAGCCGCTGTTGCTGGCTGCATCTAGAAGGAGCTACGAAGTGCTGGGGGTGGAGGTGGTTTGGAGGAGCGGGAGCACAAGGTCTTACACTTTGCGGGTCCAGAGGGAGGACACCGTCCAGAAAAGCCAGTCATGTGGAGGACTGAGAACAGAGCAAGGGCCACAGTGTATGTCCACCCCCTCCCCAAACTCTCCCCAAACACACACCTGGAAGGAAGTCAGGGAAGCCAGCCAGATTTTGTTGCCTGAGTGTCTATCGTCTTCCAGAGAGTTCCATTCAAATGGCTTGTTAGGATTCCGCTGCCTTCTTTTTTTCACTGGAAGAAAATACTAAGTCTGTTCAAATCTTTTTACACGAGCTTAAAGTTGGGTGTTGCATGTGACTGGGGAGGTAACTTGGAAGCCAACACTGACAGTAGCTGTGCTAATCTTTCCAAAGACATATCTCTCAGGTTCAGCTAACAGTGAATATCTCCCATATATCAGGCATATTTGGAAGAATAAGTTCTTGAACATACACTGTTTTCATAATCCACAAAACGGCCATTTTTGATGGATATTACTTCACATACAGCAAAGAGGAAACCGAGGCTGGAGAAGTTGACTGGCAGAGGGTCACCCAGCTAGACAGTGGCAAAGGCATGATTCAGATCTAAGTTTCTTTGGTCCAGGCCTACTCCTCTGTGAATACTGTCTTTTAGAGAATCCCTCCATCCCAAAGGGGGAAGGAGGAAGAAAGCAAAATCCTCATTTCCCTGAATTTTGATTTAGTAGCTCAGTAGACTGGCAGCAAACATCCAGCTACTTAATTCACAGATACTTCATTCAAACAGACCTGGACTTCTCGAATCTAAGAGCATCATGACTTTCAAGGACCAAAAGACTTGTATCTAAAGGAACTTGTTAGATAGGACTTCGATATCCAGAATATCTATGAGTGAAAGAGATTTTACCAAACCCCTTTTGAGCAAGACAATATTATAGTGTTCTGCAACCTTGCCTGACTTTTTACAAAGGGCCTTCTAATGAAGATCTATGGTTTTTCATTTAAAAAGTAATACTAAGAAAGATTACATACAAATACACAGACACTATTTATGGTGGTTTTTATAAGGCCAATGAGGAAATTTAGTGCTTACAGAAGTTACAGAGGCCCCCTTGAACTGATGCCATAAGCAGTGTAAGAAGATCAGCTATTCTTACAGTGGAAAGCATTTCCTCTGTAGATCAAAGGAGAGTAACCCTATGCTAAGTCTTTGGGGTGGTAAATTGAGTTCACACCTGCAATATCATTGCACTGTAAGGGCCAACTGTATTTCTTATCCATTCTTAACTGCTCTGACCTTTTAACGCTTTAACATCCTTTTGTTATTCTTTCTTTTCCATCAATAAATCAGCTGTGCTTCAGTTGAGGGCAGTAACTACTTTGCAGAGGTCCCTGGAATGTTCTCCTGTTTTTACCCACTTAGGCTTGGGGCCCCACCTCATGTGTAACAAGTTGGAACTGAGACCTGTTATTGTTTCTTAAGTCATCTAATATCCTGGTAGTATTTTTGATATCTTCAGTATGATGTTTTAGGTGAATGAGGTTATGAATTTTCACTACAGTAAAGGTACAGTTTTGACTATTTACTCAGAATATCAGTGTAATGCTTTGTTTTGCATCTTAGCATTTAAAAGCTACCAGAGGTAAAGTTTCTGGCCTGGGGGTTTCTACATAAGAAAAAAAAATAGGCATGCTTCTTGTATTCATGAAAAATAGGATGTACAAAGTAACAAAAGAGCAAGCATACAAACAAATGCAAAAAAAAAAAAAAAAGACATGCTTGACTTCTTGGAAGGAAGAATGGGGTTTTCTTGCCTTAGGTTATAGAGATGCATTGTGTTTAGATAGCTTTTCACATACTGTTTATATTTTGTGAAAGGTTATGCCTTAAAATTCTGAAATGATGCCATAATTATTATTAGTAGTCGCCATGTCAGCATATATCATTTTGCTTGATATTAGTGTCAGATGTGTAATGCCATACCTTTCTTCTACAAGCCCTGACTCCAAGCCCTCTTAGTATCTAGTATGACCAGCACCTACTGTGCTGGCTGAGGGTGGTGGGTGTGCCCGCCTGTTGATCTGCACTAATTGTGTGATCTGACCCTTTGAACTAACAGTGTAATGGTGAGAGAATGGCATAAAGGAATAAGACCTGACGTAATGTTAATTGTGAACCTTTGGACTAAATCTACAAACCAGAAGGAATTAATTTCTGGTTATTTGAACACAGCGAGGCGGTCCCTGTGAAGGTTTTTTGCAGTGTGCGAAAGCTATATTCATTCTTCTGTGAATTGCTTATACTCCTTGATTTCAAGCTGAGATTACAGTAGCAGAAACCCCTCCTTAAACCATGTAACTTATCTTGAGCAAGGTTCCAGAAGGATGAAGCGAGATGCAAGCAATACTGGGGAAATATTTTACCTGAAGTTCCCATTGAAAACATAGACTTGGAAACTCCAGAGATGCTACTTGCAGGGTCTTCGAAAGTAGACAAGTAACTGAACTTACTAGAGTCCTGTGCCTTCATTTGTAGAACGATAACTCTCTAGGTAATAGAGTTTAAATTGACAGTGTGTTGCTCAGCACATAATTAGGCTTGCAGTGAAAGGTTTGTCGAATCTGAATCTGAAATAAGCGAGATTCAAACTTTAGGGTTAAAGGAAGCCATTTTTTAAGTGGAAGATGCAAAGTGTGAAGATCAGGAAAATAAAATTTTGATGCCTGGGTACATACGGATTGATCCCTGTGTGATACATCTGGCTTGGCACAGGGCAGCTCTTCACGCCCAAGAACCTTAGTCCTGACCTCCACTAGCCACTGTCACGTGCAGCATTCTCATGAGTGGGAGAACCTTTCATGAGGAAAAGTAGTTCAGAGTGCTTGACCTGGCGATGGCAGGTCTGTTGCATTAACCTCACAGACTGGGAATAACTTGTATGTGGCCACTGGGATTTTGGGGGTCTATTTGAAATGGAAAACTGCATTTTTTGTGAGCCCCAAGGCAGCTGAATTTGCCTTATTCCTATCTTTCATGAGTTTATATTCAGAGGTCCTAACCTTAAAAGGTCAGCCAGAGAAGCAGGGCAGTGTGCTGGGAAAATGTCCAGTGATATCTGACTCTGGTTAAGGGAGGGAGTCCTGACCCAAAAACATCCCCTGGGCAGGGAGGGGTATTTGTGATGTCTGTTCAAGTTATGTGAAGTAGTGTCTGGGTTTTCCCCAAGGCTGAAGTATCTCCAGGCATCAGGCATCAGACATCACGTATCACTTTGCCTTGGGACTTTATCACTTGGCTAATTCAGTTCGGATTCAATGACAAAGAAAGCTGACTTTGGCTTCCTGGATGATAAAAATGAATGCTTGTTTCATGCATGCTAGAAGATATATATGTATATATATGTTCATGTGTGCATATCTGTTTATCAAAGTTAAACTTGTACATAGTTTAGAGTGAAATTACTCATGCAAGTTTTTCACTAGTTTCAGTAGATTGCATTTCTGCATCTAAGGATACCAAGAAAGAACAATCAGTGCCAATAAACTCTTCAGTTTGGGTTATTCCTGGGAGGAAAATGAGAATGACAACCGGAAAGAAAACAAGACTAAGTCAGGTTTGAGTGAAACGCCAGGGTTTTCTTTTTATTAACCA